ATAATTTTATAATATACTTAAAATTTTATATAATTAAAATCTGGCTCAATTAAAAAGATAAAATAATTTATTTTTTTTTTTGTTTTTTTAAAAAAGGACACTGACGTCAGTTCTTACATATTAATTGTCTATATATATTATTGATTGTTTATAATTGTTTATACATTAAAATTCTAATAAATAATGTGTAAATGAAAGAGAATGTATTGAAGACGTTATCAGCTAAAAACAAAAATATATATTATACATTGACTGTTTAAGAAGTCCAATAAAAAAAAGTGTGACCACATTAACTCTGCCGCTCAACATTCGTTATAAAATGGGAGGAATGAGGATTATTTTAATGCAATCAGTAACTGGATTTCTGCTATTAGTGATTATACCAGGTGAGTACTTTTTTGTAAAAACCATTTTTTTAAAAATTCAGATATTTTTTTACTAATGTCTATGGAAAAGCTTTAACTGATTAAATAAAAATCCATATATAAACTAGATTTATAACATAATTGGGAGATTTAAAATTTTATTTTATTAAAAAATATATAAGATATATTAAAGTAATGTAATGTGACATAATAATATTGCATTAATTAATTATATTATTATTAATTTATTTCCAAATATCTAAAGCTTTATGAGCAGTATAAATAAAAGATTTTCGTCTTTTACTTACTTGATTGACCTTCATAAACATATCTCATCCTCGGTCGCATTCAGTATCCCTCACCAACCTGCCCGAACAGTGACTTGCTGTCATCAGTTGGTAGTTGCGAATATCCACTATCTCATTTGCAAGATATCACCAAGCAATATCTTGCTTAATCTGACATCCCAAACTTAGACTAGTCACGTTAAAAACGAGTTTAATTGACGAATCACAGTGCTTAAAAATGCTATTTATTGTTTACAAAGAACGCGCGTGACTATTGGATAACTGCAGATATTAGGTCTGTGCCAAGAGCTACGAGCACTAGCACTGACGCTGTGAGTAACGCTGTGTACACACAAGTGAGTTTTACTACTCACTACTCACTTTACTATAATCTTCGTGTATTGTCATGTAAATTTTACTTGTGTCTTACTTGAGTTTTACTACGAGTAGCTCGTGGAACTCACCTATTTATATAATTTGACAGTACTACCAACCAAAAAAGAGAAGTTAGCAGAATCGAAAAAACTTTTCGTTAAACATTTTTTAATATTTTTAATCACAGCACTATACCTACATGGATAAAATGATATTATACAAGTTCTTCAGTTCTAAGTTACTGATTTATTTAAAATATTTCTTTCATTGCTATGTATGCGCCTTAATAAATGGCAAGACATATTTAATTATGTTTCTCATTAAATATCTTAGTTACTCTAAGATAAGATAACAGGTATAAGATAGCAACTCTGCTCAAAAAGTACTCGGATTTTGTAAATAAAACACAAAAATTTAAATTTAATTCCAAATTAATTTTATCTCCTTTAAAATATTCTCCTTCTGAAGCGATACACATATGCCAACGCTTAACCCAATCTTCCATACACTTTTCGTACGCCCGTGAAGGTATGGCTTTTAGTTCCTTCGGCGAATTCTCTTTTACCAATTCAATCGACTCAAAGGGGCAATTTGAGTTTCAGGAACAGGAAAAAGTCGCACGGCGCCAGATCTGGCGAATATGGTGCCTGAGCGATGACAGTGGTGTTGACAGCCGTGTTTGGTCAAAAAATTGCGTACAACAAGAATTTTCCATAGTAAAAATCGCTAAATGCACTTGAGGTTTTGAGGTAGTCTTACATTAACAGCTCCTGTTAACAAACTAATTGACAGATGGCGCTCAAATTTGTACCATATGTCAAGAAAGGTTATAATTTTTTAAAAAAGGTCTATTACTTAAGGAGTAGTTAACAAACAACAAAATCCGGATATTTTTTGAGTAGAAGGTACTATCAGATGTGTTGAAAAATATATAGCAATCCAGGAATTGCACTATTTGAAAATGATTGTTTGGAAAATACTTTTTACAAACCCTATTTAAATTGAGCTTAGTATTGACCTAACTTATTTGCTAAAAAGTCCATTTCAAAGGTTGATATTGTATTGTGTAATGCTCTTACCACTTTCCCTTAGTACTCGTGGGTCAAGTACTTTGGCAAGGTGAAAGAATAAACCGATTTGTACAAGTTGTATAAGAACTTTAAAGGCCTTTTAACCTGAATGAGAAAAATTTTTCTCGTACTATTGCTTATACTTTAATTGTATATGGTACTTTGAGATTTTGGTCAACTTGCAGCCACTCCATTTCCCATTTTAACCATAAACTTACTCCAGGGAAAAAATATAAAATAAGAAACAAAGAAAATTTTATATAATTTATTATAACGCTTACATTACTGCTTCCTCTTTTGTAATTTCAATTTTAATTTTAATTTAATCTACTTTATTGTATTTTTCATTATATTTTTTCTTTCAATTTAATTTCATTCTGAGTCCTTTTCACGGAACTCTTCTCGCATTTTCTTCATCTTTTTAATTTAAGAAGCGCGTACTACATTTAATCATTCCACATCATAAATTTTTGTGTTAAATGTTCGTTGCAGTTGTGTCCTGACGCTGTTCCTGTGAAAACTGCAATGCTTTGTTAAATATTTTGTAATATTAACTGTTAAGTTGCTTTTCATTGCTGAAATAAAACACGAATCCTAACTTATAATAATTCTTAGAAGGGGAAGTGGAATAGCTCTACGCTGCTAGTAAATCTTTCACTTTTTTATTGCACATATAAGTTCTGCTTTAAGCATTTAAAATTTATCGTAGTTCTTGAGTAATGCAAATACAACTTTTATTAAATGCTTAGATATTCCACTTAAGATACAACTGTGAAAACGTTATAACTACTATACCTAGTGCTATATAAATATCTACGAGTGCAACGTTATTTAATATTATTGTTTTTACTCCAATTTTTACTTTATTTATTTAAATTCCCGCAGTTCTATTGCCAATAAGACATTAAAAATATTTTTAACTCCACACTGCTGATTCTTACGGTTTACGGTAAACGCCAACACATCCGAAAACTATACAATCAAGGTGTGTTCTATACCCTATCTCCACCGCGTTATAGCCACAGACAGTTGTGCAATGTTGGACTTGGCAGATGGATTAGCAGAGATCACATGTACCTTGAAGCTTTAATTTACTATCGACAACAACGAAAATACAGATACTTGAATTTGTGTGGTGCTTCCTCGTGGAAGCGAAATGTGACTGACCACTGGTTCAAATCTTTCCTCAACTTACGTAATTATTTGGAGATGATCAGAACAGATGAAATTAACAGATTTTAAAGAAGCCAACTTATAAAATTTTTCTGGATGGTCTTGTGTGCGAGTTAAAGGAAACAAGAAAAATAAAAATCCTGAAATCACGCGATGCTCTACCGCAATGAGATATTTGAAAGAATATGAATATTTTTGAAATGATATGTAGCGACTAGTACAACATCACATACAATTCATTTGTCGTACCGACACCCAGCGAAGACATGAATTTTTGTAGTATTAACAGGAGAGTGAATTAGAAGAAGAAGAAGCTTACATATCACTTGTTTATTCTTTAATTGCAATATGATAATATTGATCATTAATCTATCTAGTATGACGAACATTATTCTGCCTTTAATATCAATTTCCAAGGAAGGGATTCTCTGTTAATGCTTAATTGTACAAATCAGTTAAAAATTTTGTAACAGTATTTTCTTTTGCAGTGTGTAAAGTATATGGAATATCTTTATTCATCCATTAAAATATTTTTCCATCGGCTCTTTTCAAAACATTACATATAATTTTCTAACTATTGTAAACAAACAGCAATGGACTTTTTATATCAATGAAGCCTGCCTAAGAGGCTGCCTAATAGGAACGCGTGGATAAACAATCGCATTATCACGATTACGTGGCTTTCATGTTTAACCTTCAGAAGTCGATTCCACGCCATATACAACCAAAGCCAACAAAAAGTGCGAAGATCTTGACCGTATCTCAGCCTGATTTTACACCACTTAAACGTTTACTATAATAGTGCTTATGAGACTTAATACGAAATATGATTTCGTGATTAGAACCCGCTTATCTGACAAGTGATCGTAGCCTACTTCATTGGCTTAGAATGATTGGTCTAACTGAAAAGATAAGGTGTCAAAACTGGTACAACACAAAAGAGAGCTGCATTTAAATTCCTTGTCACTTTTCGTTTTCAATTTAGTCAAAAAAGTTGAGTGATGAATCGGTAGCACCTAACATCGACTATTATTAAAAAATGCTAAACTCATCTTAAGATATTTTTGTACTCATTTGAAAAACTGAGTGGCAAAACCACTAAAACAGAGCTGTCATTATCGCAGAGATTTATTCTCTTCGGAAGCTATAATTCCGAACATTTCGGTTATATTTTACCTGTCGAAAATATACATAATACCTTCAGCTAGGATTTCCTTAGTAAACCTTATATATATAAACTATATATAAACTATATATAGTCTTATATATAAAGACTGCCATAACACCAAATAGATATGAAAACTGAAGTCAAAAGTAAAAAGTAGTTTTTAATAAGAGAAGTTTATGGAACAGCAAGTGAATGAAACAGAGAGGTGGTTTCTCTGTTGATATCTATCACAATAGTTGTCGAATATATTGGCTATATGGTTGGGCTTTAAGAACTGCATAAAATACTAGATATTGATTTAAATGAGTTTGAGTTTAAATGAGTAAATAAAAAATATTTTCCTTGCGAGGATACCAATAAATTCTTATGTGCCCCAAAATTTCATATAATGCACTGAACTGAATGCAGGAAGAATGCTGAGTTAATGGGTATTAATCATTTACTACATGATAACTTTATCATATTTTCTATAAAAAATCTATTTAAATCATATTTTCATAGAAATATTGAAAAAAATTTGACGTTCAGAAAAACAATTCAATTGAAGTTAAATTTCTGTAGGAAGAAAATTACACCATATATTTCGTTTGGAGTTTTATCAGCAAAACTTTAACCTGACTAAACAACATGACTTTTGGTATATAAATCACTAACATATATTCAGGTAGTTAAAAAAACAAAAAAAGATACAATGTCACATATAAGGTATGTTTTATTTGGACTGGCCGCGTATACAACTATTATAGTGGTAAATTGATGAATATATACAAGTTAATTACTTTAGAAATGCTCAATACTCTCATTGTACTTCACTAGTTAGGGGAGCGTCTGGTGGATTATTATGATAGGAGAAACGCTTGTAGAGAAGCGATTTACATGAGGTTACTTCAGAGGGCGATAACTAACCGTACGGAGCGGGCAGTCGAAGAGGCCAGGATCGTTCGTGGCTGGATCCGCCATCCTCCATCACGCCGGTAGATGTTTGTTGATGCAGAAGAGCCATGACTAGCAATCTTCAAAATTATTTTTGTTTAAAACAAGTTAAATACATTTTGTTTACGAATAGACTTATTAAAACAATAAGTCCTAATGGCCTAAATTAAATGTGCATTGAACGGAAAATAGTTTGGATTTCATCAAAATTGTAGTTATTATAAACTGCAGAAATAATAATCTATGCACAGTTCAATAGAAGTAGTTTAATTGAGGAATAGAATAGAAGAAACAATCGAGTCATTTTTCAATAAAATGTTCACACTTAAGCTTGAGACTGGAAGGAGGAACTCAATTTTAGAGTACAGATGTCTGTAACTAATTTCAACTTCTTGACATCCTTCACCTAATAACAATAGCAAATAAGTCAACAGTTTCTATTAAAAAAAGTTCATGTAAAAGTTATGATTAAAAAGTCACGACAATTTTCAATTCCAGCCCTTAGGTGTTATTGACTCTTAAGTGTTTATTCCACTAACTTAAAAGGAATTTAGTCTCTCTTTGGTGTTATGTATTTATGCCAGTAGAATTACAAATTCTAAAAACACCACCGATACGAGTTTTTAGACACAGTTTTGAAATCAGCATCCAATTTCGATTTTATCTTAACTATAGAAATACAAACGTTACACAACATATGTAAACTGATTTCTACTAAAGATGAGGTCATAACACCAGTACCAGTCAAATTTGTTCTGATAATTTGTTCCATTTTCGACGAAAATATAGTATAATGCCACTCAACCACATGCTTTAGTTAGAATATCCCGCAATTATTTTCTATTTTTCATACCACAATTAAATGGTGACGTTTACCGTTTACTATTCCAATAATCTTTCTATTAAAAGGAGTATATTATTAAAAAATTAAATTTTTAGATTTTTGTATATTAAGAATACTTCAATACTTCATAAAATACTTCAAGTAATGTTGTGGTTTTATTTGGATTTATTGCGAGTTTTTTTTTTTTCAATATATAATTTAATTAATTAAAATTGTAGACGTGAAAATTGCCCAACAGCCGGTACTGCGGCCAGAATAGTCCTATTGTACCAATTTTACTATTGATTGCACAAAGCTCTTTATAGCTAGAAGTGAATCTAGAACAAAATCTAGAACTGAATCTAGAGAAGAGGTCTTAATCTGCTCTGGTGACAGAAATTCCATATGAAACGGATTTCTTCTGTGCGTTATTAAAGCTGGACAGTCCTGGAAAGTTTTCCCAGTTCTCCAGCCGCATATGATTTTCCCTTTCCTTGATAATCTGTTTTTTTACTGGCCCAGTTTATTCCATAAAAGTGTTGAGGACCTATAAAATCAGTTTTGGATGCAGTTCTGGCTAGTTCATCAGCTTTTTCATTATCCAAAACTTCCCTGTGGGCCGAAACACCTAGTAAAGGCTTACCTTATTCCGAGCTGTAACTGATTGCAGGCGCTCATAACACTCTAGGCCCTCTTTTGATTTAAAAGTCCAAGAAGAAAGAGTTTTAAGAGCAGCCTGGCTGTCAGAGTAAATAATTCTCGGGCGTGGATTTCAGCTTGGAAGACACTCGGCTATGTGCTCATTGCCTCCGAAATTCTGGTTTTGGGTTCATATACACCAGCACCAGTGCCTTCATCCATCTTTGATCCATCTGTGTACCAAACCAAACTTTTTGGGTCAACCAGTGGGCCTCCATTCTCCCACGTTGAACGTGATGGTAGGTGTACCTCAAATTTTTTGCCAAAACGATGGAGTTCTGTTACATAGTCTCCATCACATTGAAGAATTTTACATGTTCCAAATGTTTTCAATATTCCTCTATGACCACAGTCAGGACAAACCTTTCTCATGTAGAGTTTTAATCGAAGCGCACTAAGCGCAGCTTTTCTCAATGTTAGACATTAGGTTGGCCGACTTCACTTATTGAACTGTTTACTTGTATAACAGCAAACGTTATAGACTTTTCTTGAAAACTATTTATATATTGTTATGCCTTTAATATCTGTATTATCTATCTTACATATTTAATCCTTGACATCTGTGTTATGTCCTTTATGTGTATATAGAGAATAGTTGTTAGAGTATAAGAGTATAGGAAATATGAAAATAAAGATGTCAGCCACATATCAGCCCACATCAACAATCAACGTGCTAACCAATTAGATCTTAAGTATTTAGCATTTATCCATAGATATAAACGCTGATGCGTCAGGCGGTTGCCCCTAATACATGTCTTAAAAATATAATATTTGCTCTATAAACATTACAAAAATCATGAACACTAAAACTATTTCTACAAAGACGTTTTTCTACTTTAAGTTAGAGCACAATTAATTCATGTGGCTTGTATCGATGAAGTCAATAGTGTAAGCCTGCGAACTAAAAGGGTTACTAGTAGTCAAAGTAGCTGAAAGTGAAGAGCTCTGGAGATATTTGAGAAAGTGGTTGGCTTGAGAGAGTTACTTCGACAGGCAGGGTGACCGTTTGTCTCGTTGGCGGCCGCGCCGTTTTTAAATGGTTGAGAGTGGAGAGCGTTGAAGAGATTTGATGAAGTCGTTGACTTGAGAAAGTAACATTGATCTACTGACTGGCCTTATGCCTCGTTGGCGGCCGCGACGTATCAAAATGAGTGTAAGTTATGTTGCTTAAATCACATAGAAAGTTGTTGTAAAGACCTGGATCCAGATTCGTCATCGGAATGTGTTACCGGCATGTTCGTCTGCTGCGTGTTTAGATCACGTCGGGGTCTCCAATGTTGTAATTGAGGTAAACAAGGAATTAACTTATGATTTTATTTCTCAATTACCAACTTTATAGAAACTGTATATTTTTTTATTTTAAAATTTGATTTCTTAGTTTACTAAAAACTTCTGTCAAATTGATTTCTTGAATTTGCACTGCGTTATTACCACACTAGCTTCTGCGTTCAAATGCCTCTGGAGCTGCTTAGTATAAGTTTCTAAGTTTCGTTCTTTTATATCTTCAGCAACTGTTGAGATGTTAAACTCTTGGTGAATATCTGCACAACGGACGTACTATGGGGCTGATAAATATAAAATCAATTTAAATTAAGTTTTCTACATGAAGACTTCAGCTCTACAGTATATGTATATTAAGTAATTAATCATTACCGGAGGAGGAGAAGGGCACATTTTTATAAAGATGTGTAACATTGTTTAGAAATATTTATTTTTGTGTCTCACCCCTAACTAACCGTGCTTTGTTCTTGGTCCTGCCTTAGTATATTTTTATTACTACTCTTAAGTTTTATGTAAGTTAGCTCAGAATTACAATAGAATCTTTCTATAGTCATGTGTGATCTGTGTATAAATATTACAATTTTTTATAGTTTTAATTTTTTAATTAAATATTAAATGTTAACCATTTATAAATACACACAGTAAACCTAAGAAAAATTATTCATATTAGTTCAACCATAAATTATACGACGACAAAAAAGGTCAAATACCTTCCTTCCTGTCTTCCTTTGTTTCTATCCGTTTTCCTTACAACAATATCCGTAATGCCATTTCTTGCTCTGTTATGGTTGTTTTCCCTTTGTTGTTGCTGCACATACATTCAATGGCTTTTCTGCCTCCGGGGGTCGGAAAGGAGCTGTGCTACTTTTGTTTTTCACACATCCTTGCGTAGGCAAACCATCTCCTGCATTACACATAATTATTGTATATAATTTCAGTTATAAGCAGCGCCGCTTAAGCGCACAACTGCGTGCGCTACGAAATTGGTTCACACAAGGATCTTCAGGTCCTTCTCTGCTATGTGGCTCCATAGCTATGTGGCAATGTTCTGGGGTTTCATCAAATTTTTTAATGCTATTTTTTGCACCACTTTGGTACATTTTGGGTTTTTGTTGTGCTTTTTTTGGATGATTTTTGGAGTGTTTTTTTTTGCTGCTGCTTTGTCTAAATAAAGTTTATTGAAATGTCACAATTGTTGATTATAAATCATTTCGCGTATTTTAGGCGATAAATTTACGTGATGTTTAAATAAAATTTTATGACATTTTGATAACGTGTAAATTTTTAAAATAAATTAAACCAGAAATATACATTCTACAAAGCTGTTTTTAATGAAAAACGTCATTATGTCCTTTTTGGTTATAAAAACAAATTTTAGTGCAATTTCACAGTTTCATTTATTTTATTCAACCTATAAAAGGTTTAGTCAATTCAACTATTGATAATGTGTATTATAAAGGCATATACGGGCTTCGGTTTATTTTATGTATATTTGATTATGTGTTTTATACTTTTAAATTATATACAGTGTAATAAATAAATGGTTTAAAATTGCTCTTTTTCCATTCGCCATCGGGAATGTGAGTGCATTTCTGTTTATTTTCACACTATTAGATGCCAAACAATTTAAAAATTTTACACGTCACTACTAGAATTTCATTCGTAATTTATTACTTTCACACCAGAACTCAAATAAAGTTCACTTCACAGTTATGCACATAAAAATAAATTTCGAAATGTAAATATATAGTATGTGTTTATATATATGTAGAATAATTTTTTTATGTATGAACTTTAGATTTTCTAGCGACAGAGACAAATTGTGTTAAAATCACAACAAAAAAAAAAAATGGATCTATTTTCGGTAAAAATTGTAAAAATTTTTTATTGTATTTTTTTTTAATTATTCTATTGAAATTGCACCTAGTCTACTTAAACAAATTAGCAATTTTGATAAGGCGATAACTTATAGTAATCGACATTAATCTAAATAAAATCTCTATAATAAAATATCATAATAATGTATTAGCACAACAAATCAAACGGCTTAGTTCGTTAATGGGATAATGCTTCTGCATTGAAATGTTGTGGAAGTCACACTTTATGTCCTTAAACATGCGACCGTTGGCATGTTTAAATTGAGATGTAGTTCACTATCGCGGATGTACGAAGGAGCATTGGTAATGACTTTTAACATTAGCGGTGGATTAATTCTCTATTTGAGACAGCCGTACAACCCCATACTTGTAATTCATATGTCAAAACAGGTCTCAATACCTGCCTGTAAATCATAATTTTGTTTTTCACTGACAGAGAATTGAGTTCTAAATTCGGAACTTTGCACCTA